CACACACACACACACACACACACACACACACACACACACACACACACACACACACACACTCACATGTCCAACCTCCGCAGACTCATCAGCGCAGGAGCCGATGAGCAGAAAAAGGTTTGCAATGCCTCTAAACATCCTCATCCTAAGAGGAGGGTAAGTTTTATTTATTTATTTATTTCATTTGTGTATGTGTGTGTGTGTGTGTGTGTGTGTGTGTGTGCATGTGGCGGCATCCTTAATGGTCCCCGGAAGAGTGTGTAGGGCTTTTCCTGTGTTGTGAAGTGGAAAATGGCCTCTGTGTCTCAAGTTAATCAAAGTGCAGAAGAGGTAGAGAAGGGAGAGGAGATTACAAACAAGGCTTAGAGATGACAGGGATCTCTGTTAAAAAAAGAAAAAAAGAAAAGAAAAGATTTTCGTGGAATCTATGAATGCTTGAACAAAGGAAATGGAGGCTTTAAATGTCAAGCACGAATTGCTTCACAAGAAGAAGTGTTTCTTCTTGAAATACTAAAAAAGGAGAGGAAGACAAAGATCCTTTCTATTAGGTGTTGCTGTTCTCACAAAAGCGACGCCGTCACACTCTGCCCCCAGACCAGTGCGCTTATTATTGCTCAGTATTCCTTTGATTAAGGAGCAGGAGAGACCAAAAGGAAGTGCGGTGGGCATTAGACCTGTCGGCAAGGGTCTTTTGAGCCCTGATGCATTGTTGGAAATGTCAAAGTTCTGAGGGTCGGTGGAGGGACTACAAACATTATTTGTACCAAACCTCCTGTGCCGCTGTTGGCGTTCATGGCGTGTCCGTGCAAACAAAGTGTTTGTTCTACTGCCGCTAGGAGGCTGTGGGGACGGGAAGCACTTGGTCTTTCTTGCCGTTTTTATGGACGTGGGAGTCTGACGTTTTGGCCGTTTTTCTAGGCGGGCTTTGCTCAGCAACTTCATGTAGTGATGGTTCCCTGTACATGGCAACTGGAGAGACAGGAGAAAACTCTTAAAGACACAGTTCACCCCCAAAAAAGACAATTCTGTCACATTTACTCATCCTCATTCAAAACCTGAATCTGCAGAATGCAAAAGAAGAAATTTTGAAAATGTCTCTGTGCTCTTTTGTCCATACAATCAATGAAAGTTTTTTTGTCTCTTCCTCTACCAAAACAACACTGAACCCTATTGACTTTCATTGTATGGACAAAAAATGTTGAAACATCTTAACTAATATCTTCATGTTCCACAGAAGAAAGAAAGTCATATACTGGTTTGGCACAACATTATTAAATGATGACAGAACCTCCATTTTCGGGTCTGTGAGATTTTTTGAAAGAAATTCATACTTTTATTCAGTAAGGATGCATTAAGCTAATCAAAAGTGACAGTAATGACATTTATAATGCTACAAATGATTTCAATTTCAAATACATGCTATTATTTTAAACTCTATATTCATCAAGGAATATTGAACAAAATGTATTCCACAAAAATATCAATGATTAATCTTTCAACATAATAAGAGGACATTTTTCTTAAGCACCACATCAGCATATTAGAGTGATTTCTGTAGAATTGTGTGACACTGAAGACTGGGGGAAAATGTAGCTTTACCATCATAGGAATAAATTACATTTTAAAACAAATTTAAAATAGAAAACTGTTATTTTTACATTGTAGTAGTTTTTACTGTATTTTTTAAAAATATATATGCAGCTTTGGTGTGCATAATATACTTCTTTCAAAAAAAAAACAAAAAAAAAAAAATAAATAATATATATATAAAATAATAACAATAAAAAAAACTATTACAACAAAAATCTCACCAGACTCCTCATCCCAAACTTTTGCAATGTACTGTCAACACATGACAAATAAATTATTATTATTATTATAAACAAAGACATACCCTCTATAAGCTTGGGCAGAAAATGGGCTGCTCCTTTAGTCTTTTTGACCCGATTTCCTTTCATGACCTGTCCATCCCGGTTAATGCCAATGTACCAGGCCCGGCCTGACTGTGTTTGACGGTACAAGATCGAGGAGTATGTCACATAATAGTTCTCAAACACACACTCCTTAAACTTGCACTCTGGCGTGAAATGTTCCTGTAACAGAGATACACACAAATACACAGACAGTGAGTTAACCAGAATAACAGACTGCAAGCGCTGACTGTTATTGCATGTTTATATATAGCGTTCAGCATGCATGGGACGGGAGGAAAATGGGCCTCAGATTTCAATTTCAGTAGTAGTGTATACTGAAGAACAGTAAATGAAGAAAGTGAAATCCTTTTACACTACACTTTGTTATGACATATTCATGGAACACATGTGTTCTGTTAAGTGTTGCAGTGTAATCTCTGCCACAAGCCCAAACACAGCCAAACTCCCTGCCTCTCTGAATCCCCGCTGGAGATAGCAGCCTGTCAGTAAGCAAACACCAACATCTCTCTTTCATTCTCTCTCTCTCTCCTCCCATCCCATCTGTCTCTCTCTCTTTCTCTCTCTTTCTACCAGCCTGTCATTTCGTAACCTTCTCAGGGAACAAACCAATTTCCAGGATTGATTGGGATCCTTGGTGTGACTGGTGAGCAGAGCAGCTGAATAAGGGGTTTACTCCTCTTCCCCTCTCTCTTGCTCTATAATGTATTTGTTTTGAAACACTCCCCTCTGTCACCAAAGGAAAATTAAGCCTTCTTCATAAAACAGATTCATAATTTACCTGGTTTAATTGCATATTATTTGCAGTTATTTAATACTATGAATAAAATTCATTAATATAATAATGAATAATATTTATTTTTGCATTTATGGGAAGATTAAAATAATTTGTAACGGACATTTTTTTCAGTGTCCGTGAAATTGACATTAAACACCTTTTAATGGTAAAGAGCTCAGTTAAAATGAAGTCTTCTTCATAAAACAGAATAATTTTCACAATTTACCTGGTTTAATTGCAACTTGCAAAAATTAAATCGTTGTCATTTACACTTTTGATCTTCCTGATGCTTTTGATATTTTCTCCTGTATATATTTGAATTTTATCATCATCATCATCATTAATTATAATAATTATATAAATATGATTATAATACAGGAAGTATTTTAAATACTAACTTATACTAACTTATATATAACTAAGTTATATATATATAATACTAACTATATATATATATATATATATAACTTAAAATAATAACTAAAATTCATTAATATAAATACAACAATCAAAAATAAAATTTAATTGCATTTATGGGAGGATTATAATAATTTTTAATCCTAAAGTTTTTTTTTCAACTTTCATCTAGGCTTGAACTGGACATTATACTATAAAGAGCTCAGAGTAAAAGTCTCTGCCAACTTCAATTAATTAATTGCCAAATTGAATTGAATTGGAGCTTCCAGCTGACAGAAGATGATGGAGTATGAGTGTGTGCCTGTGCAATAAAATTAGATGCAGGGAATTTCTAAAACACTTGAGAAACAGTCATGTAATTCTTGCTGACTTCCTCTCAATTTGACAATAATTAGGAGCCCCTGCATAGGCAATGTAAACCTGGGCCCTTTGCGGGCAAACTAAGATAATCTATGGTGTAGCCTAATCAGGTGTTATTAAACCATAAAAATAGCTATTTCTTATTCAACATGAAGGGAAATCTGTTCTCCATAAAGGAGAAGAGGGATTAGGTTGACCTCTAGCAGTTTATTCCACCTCTGCTGTGTTTTTGGTTCCCATCCTGCAGTGCTCTGAACCTCCAGCAGGTGTCAGAGCAGCACACAAGGCTCAGTGAGTGCACCGATAACTTAGTGTCTTCATTCCTCATTGCTTCACTGGCTTAAAAAACACAAGTTTTACACATCATAGCACAGTCTCTCTCACTTTCTTTTTACCCTCTCTCCCCTGCCTTTTTATTCTAGGATTGTGCGATTTAGGGAAATCTGATTATTACGGAAGGATTTTTGACATGTTATGTTGCTTGAAGTTAAAGAAGATGCTGGATGCTTGAGAGTGTGCTGAATCCTCTGAATCCCTTAGCAATCAGGAGGGAGGACTGGCAGTTTGACAGGAGAGCTGCCTCATCAGCCTCTTAGACAAGCACAACATGTCCACTAACATTTAAAGGGATAGTTTGCTCACAAATATGTATGTCGTCATTATTTACTTAGTCATATTATTCCAAATCTGCACACATTTGCTTTTCAGTGGAACACAAAGTATGCTTTTTCAGACTTTGAAAATAGTATGAACTGCTCTTTTTGTTGTCCCTTAAGGAGTGTAACAGATGAGAACATGAACTATAGTTGAACAGAAACAATCTACATCAAGATACTTAAAAAATCCTGCTTTTGTGTTTATAACAGCATATGGTTTTAAAACATCTATCTATCTATCTATCTATCTATCTATCTATCTATCTATCTTTCTTTCTGGCCTTACTGTATTTTGCACTCACTTTATTCAGAAAGTATATTTTTCCCTTATTATTTAGTTGACATCATTAAGGGCAAGACTATTATTCTCATGATTCAAATGAAACAATTTAAACCATGTATTATGTTGCAGATCGTGAGTAGTGACAGTGCTGATTCATTTATTCACCACAGCCAATTTTTACTCACTAATTTGGCATTTATGGAGTGTTCATTTTGAAACCTGAGTGTAAAGAAAGATGGAAAAGAAGAAAGTTAAGAAATGGATGAGAGAGGAAACAATAGAGGGGTAAGAAAAAAGATTGAGTCTGTGGCAATCAAGTCAGAACCATAAAATCCTCTTCAGAGCACCACACATACACACACTCACACTCACACTCAAGACACACATACAGTGAAAAGTGCTTGCTTTAACATTAACTTTTCACTGCTGTGGCTATAAAATCTGTAACTAGTAAGGGTGAATTGATTTTATGTAAGACCGCAGCAAAACGTCAATGAGAATTTCCTCTAAAAAAGCTGGTATAAGACATTGATGTAGCTGGATAGATGTGTGCACAGGTATGAAGCGATCCAAAAACTGCTTACTAAGAACGGATTTAACACACCAGTGAGCATTGACAAGTTTGCAGAATGATGGGGGCATGAGAAAGACGTCAGATGAGCTTCAAGGTGGGAGAAAATTGAACAAATGATTTGGTAACAAATAAAGAGGGGATACATAAACAGAAGGTTTTCTTGCAGTATTTCACTGCATAATGATTAGTCTAATTAATTGCAATTAATTTCAAAGAGCAAAAACATGCTGTGTTGTAATGAGATCTAATGAGATTGTAATTGCAGAGACCAGCAGTAACACCTTTTATTTGACAGCACTAAAAATAAAGCAAGCAGCCGTGTTTTCTTCCTTAAACCAGACTTGAGACACTTTACGAAACTTCCTCAAGCACAGGTCTGAGAACAGCCCTGCACACTGCTGTTCTCACGGAGGCCATTACAAGACTGACAACAGACTGACCCCAGGTCAGCACGAGAGGTGGGTTTCCTTGGCAGAACACCTGCTCGTCCCTGCACTGCTGACCCCACAACAGCTGTAGCGGCGCACTCGTCCTCTGCCTCTCTCCTTGGCTAGACCCAGCTGAGCGTTTGGGGAATTTCCAAGACAAAATAACACAACAAGCCCCTTCAAGACAGACTCCTTTGCTCTTTTCTCCTTCAGCACATTATTGGCGGTCGCTTACACAAAGGCATTAAAGGGACAGTTCACCCAATAATGACAATTAGCTGACAAGTGACTCACCCTCAGGCCATCAAAGATGTAGATGAGTTTGTTTCTTCATTGGAGAAATTTAACATTACATCTGCACTGAATGGGTGCTGTCAGACGTTTTTAACTTACCGTTGCTTCTGGCCATAATTCGAGTCTATAATCCACAATAACACTTCCTCCAGTGAAAAAGTCCATCCTCTGTTGTCCTCTCACATCAAAATGCACCTATATATTTGTTTAGAACTGTTTTTGCTTGTAAACTGTGCTTGAACTGTGCATATTTCTCTCCCGATTCAAATGAGACTTTTACACTGGAGAAAGCAATATTATGGACATCTGGAAGGAACGGTTTGAAGTTAACATTTTAATAATGGATTTGTTTATTACAAACAAGCAGCTTTTCACTTTACAAGATGTGAATTGATGGACTGGAGTCATGTGGATTACTTGTAGATTATTGTGATGCTTTTATCAGCTGTTTGGACTCTTATTCTGATGGCACCCATTCACTGCAGAGCATCCATTGGTGAGCAAGTGATGTAATGCTAAATTTCCCCAGATCTGTTCTGATGAAAAGACAAACTCATCTACATCTAGAATGGCCCGAGAGTAAATTTTCAGCAAATGTTCATTTTTGGGTGAATTATTCCTTTAAGTTCTTTGACTTGAAGAAGAGGCAAAGACTGCTGACTCATTGAGGACCAATCAAGTCCATCTTAAACAGGGAGGACAAGGTCACAAGCGTGTGTGTGTGTGTGTGTGTGTGTGTGTGTGTGTGTGTGTGTGTGTGTGTGTGTGTGTGTGTGGGTGTG